TAGCTATTAAATTTGCATTTGTGTTATAAATTTTTAAGATAAAACGTGCATTCTTTGCCTTCAACTCAAGCTAAGATTTCACCAAATAATTGTTACATACAATTGTCAACAATTAACGAAACAATAGTATATAAATATTTAAATAGAACATACTGTGCTAAAAATTATTTATAATTTTATACCAAAATTTAACTTAAATTCTAACAAATATTGTAATTTTGTAATTGACTAACTCTTTGTTACACACACAAACACACACACATGCACACACACGAGCTCGAAGTCCAAAACAATAATACGGAAATTTGTCGTTCCATTCCCCACTACATACTTTCGTGATTAAAGTATTGCGGAGAGTCATTCGGCTCTTGATTTTCGTGGCAATAATACGTATTATATTAGATTAGCAACTTTCCTAACCTATCGGTGGCGTCTTTTCTTCGATACTCTCACTTCCATTTATACTTCATTAATAGTATCATTTAATTAATAGCCGTGTATTTGACAATTCATTGAGCATCAAGATAACGAAATCGATTAGGATTTGAAGCTTTTCGTGCTAAAATATGTTTTCGATCATCGTATTCTTACCGTACGCTTTTTAATAGAATTAATGAAGTTGATTATCGTTTTTACATATTTGCCTTTATTTGATATATTTGTTCTAACTTTTGGTTAATGCAGGTTATTCCTTGACTGCAAAGATAATATGGAATACATGGACACCACAATCATTAATGAACAATTTGATGAACTTTCGCGGAAAGTTGATAACATTTTATTCATTCTAGGTAACATTTGCTATATAATTTACATATATTTGAAGTATAATTCACAATAGATAATTTTAATTATTTGGAATACAAAGATGAAAATGGAAAAGATTAAAATAATTTTATTTCGAATGTGGAGATCATGATATGTACTTTCAAATGGCTTAATGATATATACTTTCAAATGGATATATATTCTTGTATTAGATTAAATTAAATTTTACTATATTATACATTGCTGCAATATACTTACTTTTTCTGAACGATGACGCGTGATTAAACTATTCAGGATTACTATATGACGTGATATATTACTAATGTGCATACTTCGTACTTCAATAATTAACATTCAGAGTACAATTTCTACAAATATTTTTGCAAATATTGAGAAATACTTTAATTTCCAACTAATATCTTTAATGCATACTCAAGTTTCTTTATAATCATTTTCTAGGAAAATAGTAATATTTTATAAATGAACGTACTCTTTGCCCTTCCCTTTCTAATCAGTTTT